TATAAATAAATAAATAGATAAATAAATAAATAAAAATGTTTCATGCTGCATCACGCCACCATCGTCTTGATGTAAATGATGTAAACCTTCGAATACTTATTCAAGTCCAAACACTCATGTTCAAGCAGAGCTCAGAGTCCTCTCAGTTTGGGCAGGATTGGTTTGCAACTAAGTAGAAAAGAGTCCACAGGTTGCTGCTGGACAGAACTGCGGAAGGCTAGTGTAACACAGCTTCTTTAAGAGTAATAGAAAGAACAAAGCTTCCCCGGGCCATACGGGGCCGAGTTACTCAGTAAGATTTGTCTCTTACTAACCGGGTGCTGTGGAATGCTTGTGATTGGAGCTGACCTTTCTCTTTCACTGATGAATTTTGCTGCCTCTTTTCTCTTTACCATGGATAATCGTTCGGCAGGAAGTCCTCCAGAACAGAAGGTCATAGAAGGAAAATACTTCAAAGTGTGACAGTGAGAATTGCTTGAGTTTATACGTTTACTCTTCATTGAAAAGGAATAAAAATAGGCTTCCTCCTTTTTATGTTTTCCATTTTTTGAATGATAGCGTTCTTGAATGTCTTTGTTGACTTCTGGTTGTTACCGTATATGTACCAACATTCGCTATTTTGAAAATGGGTACAAAGATGGCAAAAATATATGGGATCTCATCTAGCTGAAGAAATTTTTGATACTCAGAGGAAAAAGTTCACTCACAGTCTAAAAGAATCTAGACATGCAGTATAGGAAAATAACTATTTTCTGACATTAAGAGTCTTAAAATGAAAAAAAATCACTTAAAAACAAATCTCCCTTGAACATAGATACTGTGGTAGATGCTTAAAAATATAAATTTATTTTCTAAAGTTCTAAAATCTACAATTAATTGTGTGTTTTATTGTTATGCCAGGCAAAGATAAAAGTGTTATCATTTTCCTTAATCCATTTGGAAAATATACTGACTTCCACATCTACCTCTTTCATTTCCATATTCCAATAATCTTAATCCCTACATGAAGTTCACACATAGCCCTTTCATTCCCCATGTTCTCTTTATTAAGCATGACATTGCTCTATTTTTCTTGGTTCATTTTCTAGTTTTCTTGTACTTCCATGGAAGCAATATACAACTACAACAGAACAATATACAACAACATCTCTTGGAATACACAACCCAGCAGACCAATAGCTTCCTGTGACTGATCTGGGAAAGCATTTACCTGTTTCCATCCAAGTGGCTCATTCTTCAAAAGTTACCAATCCGAAAGAGAGAACATGCATTTATAAAGGCTGATCCAAATACAGACATTGTTCTTTTTGCCTCTGACACATAAAGGAAACATGCTTTAATCAGTGTTGAAAACAATGAAGCAAACGATTCTGCATTTTTATTGAAAAAAATCAATAAAGGCAATATGGAATATTGGTCTAATCTCGAAACAACGAAACAAAAATGGGCCACGTTTACTTTGTCTCAGACCTGTATGCGACTCTACTTCATTCCCTGGCATTGCCCTCTACATAGCGACCACCTTCCCCAGGTTCTCCAGGTTCTTAGTGAACCTGTTTTTTCTTTCACAACATTGCAGGCCACAGTTGCAAAGGGTTCTTCCCTGTGACGCATTCTCTACACTCCTTAGTCCCAGTCACCTCACATTAAGCCTTTGGAGCCGAGACCATCACTCGTTCACCAGCAGTCACACACTGAACTGTAATGCAGGGCACGAGGCTGGCCAGGGATCTAAGGGCTCAGACTTCTGGATCACTGACGGGAAATTCTCTGTCATGAGATTGTTTTGGTTTTATTGCGAATCTTCCACATTTGAATCCCATGCTCTAGATTTGGTCTGCTCACCCGTTTCCAGTTCTGCTCACTTGTTTCTCTGAAAACCAGATCAATGACTTCAAAGGAAAGCAGACAACTTCCAGTCAGCTGGTCTCCTTTTCTGAAGTGATAATGGAAACTTCAGGGAGTGTGCCTCTTAGATTCTGACTTTTCTGCAACTCTTGGAGAGACAGCTATCCATCATCTGGGGTTCCTCAAGCCTCTTGCCATCTGCACATCTAGCCTGGGCTTGTTCACCAGGTGGAGGACAGTTTCAGGAAGGAGCAGAAGCAGGCAAAGTCACGGGAGAACTACTCCTGCAAGGACTGGACTCTTGCTTTTGTTTCATTCTATTTGTCAGAGAAAGACATGAAGCCAGGTCCTATTCAGGAGTGGACAATAGGCTGCATCTGGGGAAAGGAATCAGACAGATTATTGTAAAGGGCATACATAGAGGGAAAGTTCAGGAGTTGTGATCATTTTTCCAGCATCCCATAGCTATATAACCATATATTCTCGCTTGTTATAGATTGTACATGATCCTGCAAGCAGTGTCTCTCTTCATCTTTGAGTAGCACATGTCCAATATGAGGGAAGAGGAAGGGTACAGTGCTGGGCATGAGGATAATGAGGTTCCAGCTTGGCTTTCCTACTAGACCAGCTATATTAGCTTCCAATTGCTGATGTAATAAATTGCCACAAATTTAGTGTCTTAATACAACACAAATTTATCGTCTGATGGTTCTGAAGGTCAGAGGTCCTAAATTAGTTTTGCAGGGCTAAACCCAAGGTGTCAGCAGGCCACCAGTGTTTCCTTCTGCGCACTGCAGGAGAAAATCTATTTTCTTCATTTTCCAGGCTTCCAGAGACCCCTACGTCCTTTAACCTGGGGATCTTTCCTTCTTCCCCAGAGCCAGCCGAGTATGTTTTCTCTCTTCTCTGACCTCCACTTAGGTCCTTATGTTCTTCCTCTCAAACTCTTTAACTTCCTACCTTCTGTTGATAACAATCCTGGCAATTATATCGGGTGTTCTTAGATCATCCAAGATATCTCCCTAACTCAAACTCCTTTATCACATCTACGAAGTTCCTTAACTAATTAAGGTCACACAGTCTCAAGTT